CCAGTGCCATTTGCTAGCTCAGAACCCGTGGCCTCCAGTGAGATTTCCTAGGATGGGCAGAAATGTGCCCATGGGGCGTAGTGTCCAGGTACTCCTGCAGATGGAAGACGTGGCAAGATGATGGAATCCTGTAGCCTGCCCCCTCCTTCCTTCTCTGGGCTCCAGGAAACAAGTCTCGGCCTTAAGACATGGCATTTGGCAATCCTCACTCATGGTCATTTACTGGGCAGAGCAAACAGCAGGGTGCACAGAACAAGTAAGGCGGGTGTGTCCCCCACCCCAGGGAAGGAGGAGGGCGGGGACGATGAGATTGGGCTGTGCAGAAAGGGCTCAGGCGCTGGTCACCCACGCCTGGGCGGCCATGGGGAGACCCTCCCACAGGGGCAGGCCGAGCCCTTCCACTTGCAGGACAGGGAGGGCAAGGGGGAGTCTGAAGCTGGCTTCCCCTGAAGCTCTTGAGAAAGAGAAGTGCTCAGGGACTTCGCAGGGAGCTTGTCCTCCTTTTGCCCGAAACCTCCTTAGGCTCCCTCCCGGAAGCCTTTACTCTGGGGAGCTCAGTGCCTACAACCATCCAGGCCACTTACTGTCGCTGCTGCTTCCCCCAGGGATCGCTTTGGATCATGACGTATCCAGGTGCCTGGGACACTGTGAAGATGCTACATTTTAGGAGGAGACCCAAGGCTTCAAGGAGACCAGTGAGGCTCTGAGACTGGGGTGGGCCATGGGAGTGGGGTGAGGGGAGAGAGGCAGGAGCCCATCTCCTTCCCTGGCAGAAATGCTCCCCGCCTGGTAATTTGGGTGCAGGACCCGGCAACTGCACATCACAGTCTTCGTACATACATACTCTGGAACACAAGCTCTTTCTCACCGCCAGGCACCAACTGCCCCTCAGCTCCACGAGGCCTTTCCTTCTTCCTTTGCTATATTTACAGACTCAGCAACAATGACACAGCACAAGTAAGCGTTAAACATGCACCGCAAAATCCCTTCAGGTTCCTTCCTTCTCAAAGTCCTAACGATGTTCACAGACTTAATGTCTGAAAGAGTCAGACCGGTTGCAACCGAGCTTTGTGATGCTTCTTTCCTGCCACAGAGTTGACTGCTGCTGCCTACCTAGGTCACTCCTCGGCGGTGTGGGGAGAGGCGTGTGATGGGGATTGGTTTACTGTGCTGATCCATAGTAACCGGCTCCTGTTCCTCCATCATTTATCTCCCTCCCCAGTGACATCTGGGTCGGTCTATTCACACCCTCAGCATTCTATCTGCTCCAACAAACACTCAGCCTTTTCTGCTTGGATAAGGAGATTTTTTACTTACATCCATTATATGTGCATCAACATTTATGGCGGCAAGATAATTGCCAAAGAGCTCCGAGGATGAAAGGTCCTTCTTCATAATGCCCGCCCCCACCCATTTGAAAAAAATCAATGTGAACACAAGTGGGACAGCGGCAGACTCTTGCATGGCTGCTACATCCTCAAAGTTGGAAACGCGATTTTTAGAAAACACTCAGGGGGCCTAAAGAGGGAAGAAAAGGTTCCAGACAATGCGTTCCAAACCACACCTCAGGGGAGTACACGTGTGTGGGTAGAAGGCCTCCTTGTCCTCACAACCTTGGCTAAGCAACCGCAAGACAGCAATTCTGCTCTTAATTTGATGAGTCTTTTGGAAGCAGGCCAGTGCACTTCCAAACAGTTTCGATCCCGTTATCTGATCTGCAGACCGGCCCAGTGATTAGGAGGCCTGCTAGCCGTGGGCCTTGAGATGTTGGATTAGGGGTACCGAACAAGAGGCTCTCTGGATTGCTTCCCGGGCCTCTGTCCATGCTGCTGCTGGATTAGATGTTCTCACTTGGAAAGATGCAAGGGAGAGAGAGCACTTCCCGCTTTAATAGGGTTTTGATTGGCCTTCTGCCACTGTTTTACTCCACCCTCTTCTCCTTGTCCCTTGGAATCTCTGCCCCATTTCTTTATCTATGGGGCTGAACCTGGTGTTTTACTTTCCCAGAAAATGACGATTATGTCCACAAATCAGTGCTTTAGACCTGGAAGGGAACCAACCAGACTCAGAGGTTCTGAAGAGAAGGCAAGGAGGAAGGGTGGACTTGCCGGGGAGCACTCTGCTAGGTTTGCAGCACACGGATTTCCAAGCTCCTAATCTAATGATCTCTGCAACGCCTCGGTGCAGGAAAAGAAAACCAGAATCCTTGAAAAAAAAAAAAAAAAGACCTCTGCAAAACCCATTTAAAGAACAGTAGTGCAACTACTGTGAGAAAAGCCACTTGTTTGAGATCCATTTGTGTCCCTTTTGCAACCCTGAACAGTGTCTGGTTTTCCTAGGGATGCCTCATTAACAGGTGCACTTTAAGCCCGGCATCATCACTTTTGGAAGCGAGGGGCACCGTAAACATGCTGGCCAAGCTTGAAGAATCATTTCCTTACTGAAAGGACCGACAGCACTCAGTCTCCTAGCTTCCTATGTGGCCCCTCCATCCCCACCCAGCAACAGGCTATTTCCTGGGTGAGCTTAAAAACTCAGCACCGTTCCTGTTCAGCCCACACATCCCGTCCGTGTCACTGTCGGCGTCGGTGGCAGGAGAAGAGACGAAGCCACCCTTTGTGGATGATTTCCCAACATGGAGTTTCCTTGTATCTGCTGAAGCTCTTCTTCTTCCAAACTGGCCCCAACACACTGCAGGGACGAGGGAGAACTGGAGGTGGTCACAGAAGGAAGAGGATGGTTTGTAAGGAAGAGCTCCAGCTCCCGAGCTATTTTTGTCGGGGAAGAGGAGAAAGATGGTTGGGGTTTCCACCCAGCAGGGACAAGACAGGTTTCCCCGCAGGCGTCTGGAAATCCCTCCACTCCACCTCTGTCATGCCCTCTTCTTGCCTCCCCCTCCCCAAGGTCCACTTTGAGTCACATTCTCACACCAGCACGGAGGGAGGATCCTCACTCCAGAGGAGGCCGGCAAGGGCAGAGGGTGACACAGCCCCCAGAGCCAGGGACAGGCACTGGAGCACCACGGAGCCACCAAGCAATGTAGGAGCCCATCCCGTGCCCTCTGCAGAGTGTCCTAGTCACTGTGCAGACTGGTCACAGAGAGAAAGAGGCTGTTCCTTTAAGGGGACGAAGCTGCCTAGCTGCTCTGGCTGGCGGCAAACAGCTGGTCTGTGCTGCAGGTTCAAGGCCATTTCAGCTTCTCTCTCATGGAGGCACCATATGTTCCATCTCGCACATCAGCAGCTCTACTTTCCAATGATCTTGCTCCAGAAGAGAAGTAAAAGGGGGTGGGGAGGAGAAACCAGAACCAGTAGCTTACGTTTTGATTACTTTCTTGTGGTTTGAGTTGCAGTTGGGCTGCGTGCATGCATGCGTGCGTGTGTATGTGTGCGCGCGCGCGTGTGTGTGTGTACACGTGCGTGCGTAGTGGAAGGTTAACGCTTCACCTCCTACTCCAAAGACCAGGAAGCAAACGTTTGTCCAACACTGCTAATCACCTCCGGAGACGGGCATGGAGAGGAGTGGGCGAGACGGGAAAAGGCAAACGGCAAACGGAGCCGGGCATCCCATTACTTGGGCAGGGCCGGGCAGAGATGAGGCGGCCCCTTGGCTCTGGAGACTGACCGGCTGGGACTGGGCCCCGCCCCCTTCCCCGTAGGTCTGGCTTCCTTGTCAGTATCCTCTTTCCCAGCAAACTTCCGAGGAGAGACGGAAGGGCACCACCTCCGGGGGACAGGGACGGGAGGAGCAGGCCGGCAGGATGGCCAGAGGTTACTTGCGAGATGTTTACCATTTCCTAGTGCAAGCCTGCCCCCCCCGCCCCTCCCCGAGTTTTCTTTTTTGGGCGGTGAGTAGGCAGTAGGCGGAAAGGACTGCCCGCTAAGTCACCACTACGACTAAAGCCGGCAGCCTCCGTGTTCAGGACGCCCCCAGGTGCCAGACGCTGAGTGGGCGCGCAGGCGGGAGGCTGACGCGCTGGCCCTGCAGGGAACCCTGGCTCGGTGGCTCCTACCCCTCTGCCCCTCCAAACAAAGGGCACCTGCCAGGGTTTCAGCGGCCAGAGGGAGCGGGAAGGAATGAGTGCAGCCACACAGGGCAGGGCGGCGGAAGCCTTCCAGTGCCTGCGCTCGGCCTCCTGTGGGCACCACAGCAGCCCTGAGCTGGGGCCCAGGGACGCCCGGGGGAAAGCGAAACCGAGGAAAGGGCGCCCCCTGTGCCCGAGCTTGGTGAGCGCGTTGGCCGGCCTCGTCTGGGCCCCTCTCGGAGCAGCTTCCTCGCCTCTGGCCAGCCTGCGCCGCGCCCGCCAGCTTGCCGAGCGGCCCGCCGCCGCAGCCGGGACCGAGGACGTCCGGGCTGGCGGGCTGAGCGCACAGCGGGCGCCACGGGCTGTATCTCCCGGCGCCTCGCCCGGCTCCGGCAGAGGGTGGTGGGGACGCAACTCCCCGCCCCCACCGCCTACAAGTGCCTCCCGTCCCGAGCCCCTTCTGTCCGCGTCCCGAGCGGCCAGCGGCGGCTGGAAGCCACTTGGAGGCAGCCACCCCCACCCCTGCCTCCGCGTCCCTTTCCCCTTCCCTCGATCGCCCCGGCCTCCTGGGAAACAAAGGGGCTTTTTATAAAGCGGATTGTTGGCGGCTGCGGCGGTGGCGGCGGCGGGGGTGGGAAGGGGGGGATCTATAAAGACAAGAGGAGGTGGGAGGGAGGGAGGGAGGGGAAGGAGCTGCGCCGCCTCGGGGGCCAAGCTGCGGTGGCGGCTGGGAAGCCCCGGCGGGTGCACGGTGGACCCCGCCCGGCCGGCCGGTGGTGGGCACCGGGCAGGAGCCCATGCCTGCCTGCCTGCCAAGAACTGCGCCGCACCGGCCGCTGCGATGCTGCTCTCTCCGCAGTCCGGGGCGCGATGGGATTTCCTGGCCACCCGCTGCCCGCCTGGGCACGAGGCAGTGTGATTCCCGCGGGGTTCTCTCCCGGGAGACCCGGGCCCTCTCCTTGGCCAACTCTGGCAGAATTGCCTGGGCTTGGGCAGACTCTGCGTCTTTGTTAGGGCTGGCCTCTCCCGAGCTCTGCTCGCTGGCCCTCACAGACCACGTCCTGGAGGCAGCCTCGGTGGATCCCAGCAAAGGGCACCGCACGTTTGCCTTGGAGACGTCGCCCGGGTTCCTTCTGCTGCCAAACAACAAGGACAAGCCAACCCAGTGAGGGGAGTCCCCCAGCCACTCTGTGCTTCTGCCGCCCGCACACACCCACCCTGGGGTGCTCGGCTCAGCCGCACCCAGTACAGGACACAGAAGGCTCCAGAGCTCCAGCGCCAGGCGCAGAGGCGAGCCCAGGTTCCGACGGCGTCAGGGTCGCGCTTTCCAGGAGGCGAATCCTACCAGTCTCCGAACTGAATCACGAACCCCCGTCCGACAGCATCGTCAGCTTTCCAGGAGGCTTTGGTCACACTGCGTCAGGACGAAGCCTGGCCAAGCCAACTGGCCCAGAAAAGTACTTGGCGGCGCTCCGGGGGACTTCCCGCCAGCCCTAGCCAGCGCCGGGCGCCCAAGTCTGCGGCCGCAGATGCCCAGGAGCCCGGAGCGCCCGGTGGGACAGCAGCAGGGGCTGCGTGGAGCCGCCAGCTCCGCTCCGCTCAGGGCTGCTCTCCCGGGAGAAGTTGGTGGGGCTGGGAGCGCAGGGCAGTGGGCTCCGCGCTCGCACGGCCCACACTTCTGTTCCGCGCGGGCAAACCGGGTCGGGCCAGAGAATTCTTCCCCTGGAGCCCACTGCCCACCCGCGGGACCGGAGCCGGCACCCAAAGCAGCCCAAGCAGCGTTGCCGGTGGCACCTGGGCTGTGAGGGTCCCGGGGCTGCGGGGACTGCATGGAAGCCTCCCGGTGGCCCAGGGGAGCCTGGAGCCCGCGCAGCTTGCGCCCCTCTGCCTTCCCTCCGTGTGCAGCTGCCTCCGCCCGATTTCAGACACCCGCCCGCCTTCTGGGCGACCGGCAGCAGGCAGAGGCCATGGCCCCGGGCAATGCGAGCTTTGCCCGGCCAGGCTGGGCGGGTCGGAGGGGGCACGGCCGGCCCCCGGGGTCAGGTGGGCCCTGTGCTCCAAGCAAACTTCGGGGGCTCTGGGCTCATGGCACCCGGGGCCCGGATCCTCACGACGGGGCCTACAAGCGGGGTCCACCCGTGCACCCCGGAGCCTCCCGAGCTGCTCGGTCGGACCTGCCCCACCGCCCTCACCCTTACCGTGCTGTGGAGCTCCGAGCCGGGCTGCAGATCACCCCTGGCCCGCGGCCTCCGTCCGCCGCCTGCCACCCCCCACCGTCCGCTTGGGCTCGGGCTCGGGCTCGGGCTCGGGCTCGGCTCGGGCTTCAGCTCGCGGCCAAGTTCATGCTGGCTGGTGGCGCTGCAGCGGCGGCCTCAATCTGCTCGCTCCATTCCCACCGCCCGGCTTCCGAGCCGCGCCTCGCCGAGCGCCCGGAAGGTGGAGTTTCGGGGTTTAAGTTACTGATAGGCATTTCTCACTGCCGTGTCACTCGGGGAGGAGGAGACACGCACGCCGCACAGCACACTCACACACCCTCGCACTCTCAGTGGCCAGCGGCTCTGGCCTTAAAGGAGAAGCTGCCCTGCGCTGCCCTGCCCTGCCCTCCCCTGCCCTGCCCTGCCCTGCCCTGCCCTGCCCTGCCCGCGACCCCGCCGGCCCGGAGCCTCCGCGCACCGGGCTTCCAGGCCAGGATGGGGCCCCGGCCGCCAAACAGCCAAAGAGCTGCAGCTGCCCAAGGGCCCCGGGACCCGGAGACTTGTCGGAGGGGAGGGCAAATCGGCCGCAGGCTGGCTTCGCGGCGGCAGGTGGGCGGCACGCTTTGCTCCGTCTACCCAAACCCGGCAGTTAGGGGCAGCAGAGCGGCGGCGGGGCCCCAGACGGCGCGCTCGCCTCCGCGGTTCCGCGCGCCCCAGCGTGGCCCGCCCTCGGCGGCAGGTGCTCGTCCAGCCTGGGCGCTGCGCCCTGCGGAGGCCACAGACAGCGGAGCCCACAGACAGCGGAGCCGTAGGCGTCCGGGCGCCAGCGGACCCAGCCCGGCGGAGGGCCGAGCACGCTCGCTCGGAGACCCGCAGGCCGCCGCAGGGCCACCTCCCGCGCCCGCCCCAGAGAGCGAGCTGGAGAGTCAGCCGGATGTGCCCGGCTGGCCGGACGGGAGAAAACCGGAGAGCTGGCGGGGAGCGGCACTCAGAGGGGACCAGACGGACAGAGGCCAAGAGACAAAGACAGGGCACCCCGACAGCCAGAAGCCAGGAAAGGCACAGGCCGAGAGGGAGACGGAAGGGACGGGCGAGTCTCACCGCAAAGCGACCCACCGGGCCCCTTTCCATCCTCAGCGGAGCCCCACTCAAGAGCTAAGGGACCCCTCTCTTCCCGGGGAGGGGACTCACCTGCAGGGGGTGGCTGCTGGCTGCGCAGCGCCAGTCTCCTCCCCGCTGTCCACCAGCTCCCCTCGGTGAGCAGAGCCCACCTGCGCTGGCGACCTGGGGACCTCCTACTGACCCGCCCCCGCCCCCTCCCTGCCTAGCGCCCCCCAGCGCTCCCTCCTGCCCTTGGCGCGAAGCTCTGGGTGTTGCCCACCGGTGAGCTTACCCCGAAGGCAGGGAAGGCCTTGCCCAAGCTGCGCTGGGCTGGCCCCCTCCCTCTCCGTGGGCTATCCGGGCCGACACCTGCAGCTTCTGCAAGAGCCCGGGCTCCTGGGCAAGCGCCCAGGCGGTGGGCACCGGAGGGGAGGCCGGGGACTCCCTTCCCTCCGCTTCCGCTTCCCTCCCTTCCTCTCCCGTGGCGGGTGCGGGTGCGGGTGCGGGGCTGCCCCGCGCTCCCGGGCGGCCCCAGGTGCGGTTACTAACCTGGACCTCCGCTGGCGGCAGCGGCGGCGGGAGCTGAGCGCAGCCCCCCGGAGCGCCGCGTCTCCTCCCGGGGCTACTCCGACAGCAGCTGCTCAGCTCTCGCCCTAACTCCACTAGAGCCCCGACGCCGCCCGGCAGGCCGAGCCTCCATCCGGGAATCAGGTGGGACAGCGGCCCACCCGCCCCTCCTTTTCGCCCCAACCCACGCCCTAGGCCTTAGGAAAGTGGCCGGCCCCTGCGGGAACCCAGCAAAATCCCTCAGTGGGGTTCTGAGCCCTCCCCCCCGACTGTTCCACGAAGTTGCCAGGGGAAGAGCGGCGCCCTGCACCACTGGTGGGATGGACTCACCTGGGCAGGGCCCGCCCGTCCGCTTCGCAGGGGCAGGTGGCCAGGAGAGGGTGTCGCTCTCTGGTGACTGAACCGCTAGCAGATGGCGGCCCATACCTTCAAGGCCCCACAGGGAGGAGGAGTCTCCCCAGGCTCCCAGTGGCTCCTCCAGCTGAGAGAGCTGGCCAGCGAGTCTCTGGAAGGGAATCTGATTGAGAAAGGGGAGGACGCAGTGACTGTCAGGGGGCGCAGAGGGAGGCGATTAGCATTCCGTCCTGTCCCTCAGTGTGCTGGGCCGCGGGGGCGGAGCCGGAAGCTCAGGCTCCACTCCCAGGCCTCCACTCAAGCCCCACCCACGCCCCTGGGCTTCCCCAAGGAGGCGGTGGTGCCCATCCCCCCAGCGTGTCCCCCGAGGCCTGTGGCAGTGGTGAGAGGGGCTGAGTGCCCACCAGGCAGGTCACCTACACAGCCGCTGGGCCTCTCCAGCTGCGCGCGGGGCCACTGAGCTGAGCCCCGGCCTGCCCCAAGCCCTCTCCCCAGTACCCACCGTCTCAGCGCTGGCGGCGCCATCCTTGAAGCTACCAGGCCCACCAGCCTGGCATCAGCCTCGCCTGTTCTCTTTCCCACCCCACATCCTTTTGGCAGACAACTCTGTTATCACCGTCTTCCGAACACTTCTGCAATCCCAGCCTTCCCTGCTCCTCCACGGCGACCCTCCTGGTCCCACACACTGGCCTGGGCCACCCGGATCGATCTCCCCAGCAGCCAGCAGCCACCCAGCGGACTGGCCTGTGGCATCCTTCCCTGGCACCATCCCCCTCTCTGGGCAAAGGCGGGACTGCAGGACGCCCCATTTCACGGAGCCTGACTGAAGTGCCTCTGGTGGCCCTGGGGCCCTTCAGGTCCCCCCATCTACATGTGGGTGACATGATCCTCCCTCTGGCTCTGCCACCAGCAGCCCTCCAGCCACTGGCCTCCTGCCTCTTCCAGCACACTAGGTAGGTTCCCACCTTAGGGCCTTTGCACTGCTGTACCTGCTCTCCTGGGCTGGAATTCACTGCCGGCCGGCCCCTCATCTCCTTTCATCTTGACACAGACGTCACCTGGTCACCCTGTCAGTGTTTCCAAGCCCAACGCCCATCTCTGGCACTTCCTTTCCCCTTCCCTGCTTTGTTTTCTTTCCAGCACTCCCCGAAGCTGGCGTCTGATCCAGGCTGCACCCCAGGAGGGCAGCCTCTGGTCCCTGCTGTATCCACTGCTGCATCCCTGTGCCGCTGGGCATGGAGTTTCTGCGCCGTACCTGTGGGTCCATTCTGCTTCCCTGAACTTTCCAGGAAACTCCAGCGGCCGCAGGATCCTGCACACCCACCGCCAAAGGGCCCTGTAGCTGTTATCACATTTGAAGGAGGTCTGTGACTAAACAAAGGGCTGGAGGTCAGGCCCGGTCATGGCAGCAAAGGGCACGGTGGGTGGTCCAGATGTGTTGGTAGCAGTCTCACAGGTGGAGGTGCAGAGAGTGATTCTGTGGGTTCCCTGGGGAAGTGCGGGTCCCCTGTGGTTTTCACCTTTCACCGAAGGCACCCCACGGTTGAGGCGGCCAGGCTCAGAGGCTGGCTGTGGGTGGCTGTCTCCTCACTGAGTAGACTGCCAAGACTGCGAGGGCCCTCTTGTCACCCAAAGTGCAGGGCTGGGTCTTGAGCTAGCAGAGCCCATTCCTCCATTTCTCTAGGCCTCAACTGCGTTTCCCCTGCAGGAGTCCTGCACCCCAAGACGTGTGAGCAGTAGTCTTGTCCACGTTCTAGATCAACAAGTAGGGGCCTCAGAGAGGCTCACGAGTGGCAGAACAGGAAGCAACTGGCCGCCTAGGCTTGGGCCACCTCCACTTGCTATGTGGCCACCTGCCCAGGGCGGACAGCCGGGACCTGCAGATCCAGGCAAGGAGAGATCTCCCCTAGGGGCCTCCAGGAGCGGCCCTTTGCCTGGGGACCCTGAGTGGCTGCCAAGAGGTGGGTCGAGGCTAAGCTTGTGGGGCCCAGGAGCATCACACCAAGGCGCATGGTGGGCCTGTCTTTGGTCTGATGCAAGTGTGGGGCTCCACGGATCTGACAACCACCTGGCATTCATAGTCACCGTCCTGTGAATTTATGCCAAGCTTTCCCAAGCTCACAGGACCAATGCTGGGGCTTTAAGCAGGCAGTCTCTGGAATGCTGTGTGTGACCTGCATAGGTCGGGGCCCTCAGAGCACGTGCAGGCTGACCGAGAAGGAAACACATCTAGTTGATCTATTCATCATCAGCCCCTTGCTCCCAAGCCTCCTGTGGCTCCCTACTGCTGATGGCACTGAGTTCTAGCTCCTTGGCCTGGCAACCAAGGTTCTGCATACTCGGTGGACACCCACCGCCTCTATTTCCAGATTCCTCTTTAGGTGCTTTGCCACATTTCCTGCCTGGCTGGCTTTCTCTCTGGACCCCTAACAGCCTGGCTCTTCCCGCTTCTGCATTTCCCATGCCGGCTCTCCTGTCGAAACCCTGCCTGGTCTTTTCAGCTCATCTCCAAGGCCGCCTCCTCCTGAAGCTTGCCCTCGCCCTCACAACACTGGCACCCTCCCTCCCTGGGCCATCGCAGGCCTGGCTCTCTCCTCTGCACTCCTGGGGCCTTTGTCCTAGGCTCTTCCTGCTTCCACAGTTTCACACTGGCTTTTGGGGGGCACCCACAGCCTCCCTGAGAGACTCATGATTGACTGTCAGTAGGGGTGAAATGGGGTCCAGGGGCCCTCTGGACAGCAGAGTAAGGACCTGGAGAGGGGAAGTGGGGTCACAGATGTGGCTGCCACATCTCTACCAACTCTGGAGCCCCAGGCTCTGCTGTCCTGGCTCCGCACGTCATTTGCACCCAACCCTGGCCTGGTGGAGCCCAGCTCTGCTGTCTGCTGGCTGCAGCCCCTCCTGAGCCCCCCTCCCCCCAGTGTCTCTTATTCAATGGTCACATGGTACCTGCATTATCTAGTGTGATCAGGTTGCAGCCCGCGCCCCCCATAGGACTGCCCTGGGTGTGGTGCCTGGCCCACAGCCCGACAGCCTCAGAGAAGAGGGTGCTGTTCTGATGGCCATCCCAAGCACCCCGAAGCAGGAGGCAGGTGTGGAATGGAACAAGAGGACTCGGATTCAGGTGCATGTGGGTCCTCAGGCCTTCTGCTCATGGGCAACTCCGGTAAGGCCCTGAGAGTCCAGCAAAAGACGAGTGAGTCCATGCCGGGTGCGGAGCCAGATTCAGGCACTCTGGAGGTCATGTGGCATTTTGCCCTGGTGGAGTGGAGGAAAGCCACCAGGAAATGAGTTGAATTATCTCTTTCACTGCATTCTTGAACAATTTTAATCTTCTTGGGGTTGTTGGTGGTGGCAAGCACTTCTGAGGGGCACAGTGGAAACAAATGGGAAATTGTTAAAGTATTGATTGCAATTTCCTGGCGACTTCATTGATTTAAAATAATAGGAACCTAATGATGAATGTCATTATACTGTATACCTAAAATGTACCAATGATTAGAATGAATAATCGATAATGCAAAATAGGAAGAAAAGGTCCAAAGGGGTAAGGGTAGTGGGAGGGGCAGGGGAAAGGAAAGGGAAAGGAAAAATGCTGAGAAATGGAAAAAATGGAAATAAAGTCTTTGTAAATAGGGAAGGGTGGAGTGGGTGAAGGGAGGGCTAGGAATGGGGAAAAAATAAGAACCAAGATGCATTATGTAAAGGTACAATTCCCAATGAGAAATGTAATTGTCTTGTATACCTACAATGTACCAATAAAAGAATTTAATTAAAAATAAAATAATAGGAACCTTTAAGAAAAAAGCCCTCATTACCAAGCGAACAGTTAATGAAGGGTCTGTAGAATGACTTGCATTGATTTCACCATGAAACCAGAATACTGTGGCTAAGAGTCAGTCTCTCCCTCCACAGCTCCTTGGTCACCAGGAACGTGGCTTCCTGCATGCGCAGGTGATGCCAATGGGGTGTAGATAGGGGTGGGGATGGGGACCGCCCCCAACAGATGTGGGGATGTAAGTTGGGGCACGAAGGGAAATCCAGATGGATTTGGAGCACATGCACAATTGAGAGATGGTGTCGAAGCTCTTACACAGACCAGAGTATGCAGATGGCTTGCTAATTATTACTCTTCATGTAATGACTTTCTTTCCAGTAGCACGGGCGTGACTCAGGCCCTACATGGGAAGAGGCTCTGACGCAGTGCTGTAAGACCCTTCAGACCATTTGCGATTTCATGATAAAAAAAGGCAACAAAACAAAACAGGTCCGTGGCTGTCCTAGCAACCAGCCAGGCTGCTGCTGCAGGGTCACCACAGCCCCACAGGAGGTTAATAGGACCTGGCACAGGGGCCAGCTGGGGCCTACACCAGGCAGGCATAGCAGCCAGGACGTCTGGAGAACAGTGCAGTGATGTGTTCCAGGTGATCTGCATTTTCAGAACACAATCACAGGAGCAATCAAAAGCAGTCAGCTCCTGGTGGCGCATCTACTCTGTGCCAGGCCCCGTGCTTCCATCTGGGAACTCAGTGAAGCCTTGAACAATGAATTCCAGAGCAGAGCAAGCTGAGGCTCAGAGAGGGGAAGCAACTTGTCTGAGGCCACACAGTCACCCGGCGTGGAACCGGCATCTGAATGTCTCAGCAGCCTGGAGCTGCCCAGCCAAAGGGCATCCTATCAGCACAAAGCTCACCAGGGAGGAGGGAAGTGACACGTGCTTCACCCTGGTGGCTCTGTGCCTGCTGCTTTGCTGGCTGGCCTGCCTCAGCTTGCGAGAGGGGGCTGTAGCACCTTCAGAGACCGTGTCAGCCTGTCGACGACATGTTGGTAGGTGACACTGGCCATCGTGGGACTAGTCCTGCCCAGAGGTAGACAATTCTACAAACCAGGGTTGGATGGTGAGCATTTTCTGACACCACATTGCAGGCTGAGGTCAGAGCTAGCCTGCCTGGTCCAGAGGCTGGCCTACTGCTCAGCAGCTGCATGGGCCAGGCAGACTTGCTATTTTGTGATGGAGAAGGTAATAGCACCCACCACATCGGGCTGTGGAAATCGTTATATATCATAGCTCACACAAATCCCCTAGGACAGTGCAATCACATGCCACACGTGACACTCTGGTCAATGATGAACTGCAGCTGCGTATGCTCAGTGTCCCCCCCCCCAAAGTTACGGTGGAGCTGAGAAATGAGGGCACTGAATGATGTCACAGCCGCCATGGCAACGCAGCACAGTGCATGGCTCTTATGTGTGCTGTTGCTGGTGTAAAGACGCCTACAGCACTGCCAACCCTATAGCTATGGCACAGGCAGTTATGTGTGGTGCAAAATGCTTGGGAATGATAAGCAGCCGTGCCACTAGTTTCCGTATTCACTCTACTTTTCATTGTTATTTTTATTTATTTATTTGGCTTTTTTAGACAGAGTCTTGTTAGATGTTTCAGGCCGGCTTTGGACTCACTATGTAGCCTAGGATGGCCTCAAACACAGCAATCCTCCTGCCTCAGCCTCCTGTGTGTTGGGATGACAGGTGTGTGCCACCACGCCTGCCGTTTTCTTATTTTCGAGTGTATTCCTTTTCCTTATAAAAGAAAAGTTTACTGTAAAACATCCTGCCGGGTTACACCAGCCTCATACTTGTCAGGGTTACCCCATCTCGTCATTGCCTTGTTTTCTCTTGTACTTGACTTACTTTTGTGTTGTTTTGTCCATCGTGATCCTCGGAACACTGGGCAGTAGCATAGACATCTCTATACCCCACGTAGCCTCAGTGTGCGGGGGCCATACCGTCTAGGTCTGTATAAGCATGTTCTAGGATGCTCACGCAAGGCCAGAATGGCCCAATGGCACACGTCTCCCTGTGGCGAAGTGACGTGTGACTGTATACGTGTCAGTGTTAGTTGTGTAAAGCTAAGTATACTGCGGCGACTCTACTATACGACCATGTCTAGACTGACACGCCTTTCACCTGGAGGCCAGCAACAATGTCCTCACTCATCTGGCTCCCTCCAGGCTTGGCCCCTCCAGTTCACCGTCCTTGCAGTCACTTTCTAGCCTACAGATCCTCACCTGGTTAAAATATCTCTACGGCTCCCTGTTACTCTCAGCGCTAAAGTCCAGCCTCCTTTGCCCACCTGACCTGTCCTTTCTCCAAAATAAATGAAGCCTTTCCTGGGCTACTACAGCTGCCACTGAAGAGCACTGCAAACTGGGTGGCTTATGTGGCAGAAAAGTGTGGCCTCCTGGCGCTGGAGGCTGAAGTCTGCGATCTGGGTGTGGTGTGGGTGGGTGGGCCCGGGAGGGAGGGGGTGCTCCAGGCCTTGCCCTGGGCTTGTGCACGGCTGTTTCCCCTCTGTGTCTTCACAGCATGTTCCCTCCACACGTGTCTCTGGGTCCAAACGTCCCCCCTTCAAAAGGACACCGGTCACATTGACTTAGGGGCCTACCTTACTCCAGTATGACCTCATCGTAACCAATTGCAATGACCCTGTTTCCTCAGCCTAGAATCCCAAACAAACATCATCTAAGTGAGGTGTGTTTGAGACTTGGGGTACAATTAATTCATGCCGAGGCCGGATTCCTCTCCATCTGTGAGCCTGTAGAACCAGGCAAGACTTTATCGCCTTGCAGGATGCGGCGGCGGGACAGGCACACGATGGATGTTCCCTTCCAAAAGGAAGGGATGGGAAGGACAAAAAGGGTCACAGCTGCTGAGAAAGGCTAAAACTCAGCAGGGCGAATCTCATTTGGTTGCAAGGCTTAAGAATGAGCCTCGGGCTTGAGGTTCTATCATTTTAGTTTATCCTCCAGCCGCCACAAAGATGACCTATGGGCGGGACACGGCAGGCCACTCGCTGTTCTTAGCACACTGTTCTTTCATACCTCCATCCTGCACATGCATTGTTCCCTGCAGGCAACAAGAGGCCCTCCTTTCCCCATGATTTGGGGCGCACACACACACACACACACAGACATGGAGCCCCAGCTGAAGCCTCTGTGCCCTGCCTAGGCCTTCTTTGGATCCCTCCTCCCGGAGGCCCAGGAGGTCCGAAGCACCTCTAGCACCTGCGCTGTCTTCAGGGCAGCCTTCGCCATCCTGGCTGGGACCAGTCCACCCACCTGCTCCCTGGGTAGACACGGCACTGCTTGAGTTCAGGCGCCAGCTTTCTGTGATTGTGTCTTGGCAGCACAGCATTGGCCAGATTGGTTCATGGCATATGAAGCCCTCAGGGCTGGGTGGTCTGATGCACAAGGGAGTCTTTCCTGACTACCCACTGTTAGCAGAGCACTGGATGGCGGCTCTCCAATCTTGGGGGTGGGGGGGACAAACTATGTCCCAGTCCCTAGAGACAACATAGGCCGGGGACTTGAGAGTTGGAGGGGCTTTTAGGCACAGGTGCCGACACCTGGCGGATGTGAGCTCATTGCTTTGTCCCACTGACCTTACGCAGGACAAGAGGGCATCGTGCGGAAGCAAACACTCAGGAGCCAGCCTGTTTTGCATCTCTACCCTGCCACTTATGGCTCCGTGACCTTGGGCAGCTTGCTTCTCTCTGCTTCTGTTTCCCGGGCTGTCGAATGAGGCCAACGGCAGTGGTCACCTCACAGAGTTGGTGTGGGCATTCAGTGAGTTAGTTATATCTGCCAGATGTTAGCTCTCATTCAGACATGGCCAGTGAGTTATACTGGCCAGATGTTAGCTATTGTTCAGGTACAGCCAGTCCTGCGTAGGTATCCAGTATCTGCTGCTGTTGAAATTACTTGCTGAGGGCAAAACGTGTTCCTCTGGCATGTGACAGGGCTGCAAAAGCAAATGCCAGGGCCCATCCAGCTCTCCACTGAGGCCCTCCTGTGCTGTCCACGAAATGACTTCAGCACACCAACGAGCAGCATGTCTGCAGGCATGATGAAATGAACCCGTGCATGTGGGGAAAGGGTGGGCCCCGAAATTCCAGTGGTGCCAGGCGTGTGTGGGTCGCAGCCCCATGGAGTGGTCAGCTCTCTGGCCCGGCAGGCAAGACTCCGGGTTCTCAGCTCTGCTCTGCATGTGGCCCTCTGTGGCCCTCCTATTCTAGCATTTTCCAGAGGGCACCCCCTCCACCTGCCCTGGAGCCTAGATGCGTCTCTGCCCGCGCCCCCGGCCTTACCCCACCCTGCCTTACCGCCACACAGGGTGGCTGCTGGCGGGGAAGCCCTGCCTCCCTGAGGCCTGAGTGTAGATGCCACTTGCTGCAATTAGGTAATTGAACATTGAACCAAAGGGCAAGGAAGTGGCGAGCTGCTCTTGCCTTGAGCCAGAATGTTTGTCTCCCTGGCTCTCTCCCCCGAGCTCAGAGGCAGACGAGGCCAGAAGATGCGTTGTTCCCCACGTGCACTCACTCTGGGCACCTGGCCTTCCCCATGCCTCAGGACCAGGGTGCAGGGCCGCCTTTGGGCCCTGGGATGTGGCCCGAAGCACTTCCGGGGCGACACTGCATGGGGAGCCACGGTACTGGGCAGCCGCCAGGAGAAGAGAGAGTGCGCTTTACACCGGACAGAGGTAT